CCCCCCCCCCCCCCCCCCCCTGTTATGTACCCTGCCCGCGTCTTGCCTTGTCGTGTCCTCTCCTGTCGTGTCGTGTCCTGTCTTGTCCAGGCTCTCCGAGGGCAGGTGGATGAGGCGTCCATCCGCGCCCCCATCGAGACGGCCATGGCCAAGAAGGTGAGGGCAACGACTCCTGTGTTTGCTCGTCCGGGCCGGGCTTCTGTTTCGGTTGCAAGGAGAGAAAAGGGGGGGTGACGCAGAGGGGACAACCGTACGCTGTTTGCTCAACGGGCAGCTCCGCAGCAGTGCGGCAGTGATGAGGTTGACCGTTGTGGCGAGGGGGGATGTCTGGGCGGCGGTGGCGGCGGCAGTTACAGAAGGGGAGGTTCGTTCGCAAATTGTTTTCCGGTGGGGAGGTGTTGGAAAATTGGGCGGGACGAGGGGTAGGGTTTGGAAAACGCCGGGAAGGGAGGAATAGCGATGTTTGCCGTCACTGAAGGTGCAGCGAAGAGATCACTTCGTGTGCAACATATGGGGTCTGCAGCCGAACACGGGCCGTGTGGGTCGCTGGCGGGCGGGGCAGGCGGGCGCGTGGTTTCGAGCGTGACGCCAAGCGTGACGAGGGACGAAAAGTGAAAATTGCAACCCTTGAGCGCCAAGAATAGGCGCCTTTCGAATACCGACGAATCTCTCAGGCAGTCGTTTCGTGGTGCCCTGTCCGTTTCTTTCGCACATTGTCCGTGTTGGGAGAGATTCAAGCCTGTTCACTAATAACGTCCACACCCAAGCAGCAGATGCTGTGAGCAGCAGGGCAGCTTCTTGCCTGTGGGCACCGACCACCCCTGTTGCAAGCGCTGCTATTTGCACTCGCGGTGGCTGTCCCTGCCGGGGATTGTTGATTTTCGAGGCTGGGCGCCTTATTGTAGGGGTTCCGGGATGCAGAGCGGCAGGGGGCGGGGGGCGGGGGGGCAACAACGACGCTCTTCTCGTTGAGTGCTGCCCGACATGGACGAAGAGCGCACCACTGACGAAGCCTGACCATGTGCTGTGCTAGCGTTAGACTCGTTCGCCGTGTCCGAATCCTGCGATACAGCATGCTTCGCGGGCAGGAGCCACAGACAGGGTCGGTCGAGTCGTCTTTTTCATCGGTGGTGCGGTCGTTGTCCATGTCGGGCAGCGGCTGAACGGAAAGAGCGTCGTTGTCGCCGATGGTGGGGGTTGAGGTAGAAGTGATGGTGAAGTTTATCTTGGATAGTAGCAGACTGAGCTTCCTCTCGTCTTTCCATTTCGAGGCATATGGTCTACATTCCGATGGCGAGCGCGCTATGCAGAATCGAGAAGCTCGCGCATGGTATTGCTGGTCTGTGGATCAAACTGCCACCCCCCTCCCTCCTTCCCCATGCGGTGGAATGGTAAAATATTTCAGGCTGACGTGACGTCGATCGAGGTGATGTTGCTCGAGGATCTCGTGGAGTGCAAGGAGAAGGTGAGACTCGTTGGAGAGACAGAGGGTTGTGACGTGTTGGACAAGGGGAAATATTGTCTTCGTTTTACCGCGATTTTTATGAGATGGCTTCAAAAGGGTTGCCGTGTTGTCTCATGTTGAGAAACTGTTAACGGGCCGCTTGACTCGGTATGCCACTGGTCTCGCCGAAGACCACCTACTTGTTCAACGTTGTGATTCCGCCGAATGTTGGCGCGCTCTTCTTTTTCCCGCAACCGTGCAAAAACGTGACTTTAGCTGGAGGAAGAGCTCAAGTCCACGTCTGCCCGTGGCGATACAATGAACGGCGTCGTGGCGGCGCTGCCTGCCGAGGGAGACATCGCTCGCCTGCGGGCCTACAACTGGCAGGACGTGCAAGACCTGCAGGGGGTGGGTCCGAACCGGGTGTCGTCGTTGTTGTTGTTTTTGGCTAAAGCTGCTGTTGTTGTGTTGTTGTGTTGTTGTTGTTGGTGGTGCTGGTGTTGGTGATGCTGACATTGGCAATGATGCTTTTGTGTTTTTGTTGCTGCCGTTGTGCTGTTGTCGATGAATATTTATGGCGGTCATGGTGGTTGGGCGTTATTGGTTGATATCTTCGCGTCACAAGCCCTTTTGACCCCCCTGCAGCCTTTCCTCTTGTGCGCTATACCACTATCGGCGAAGAAAGTAAAACGTCCGTTCCTGGGAGTGTTTCGCGGTCCCCATCTTTCACTTGCGTCCTCGGGCAACATAACCGTGTTCGGAAATTTGGGTTATTTATGTGCCCGTGCGGCTGTGGTTCTATGGTTAGCATCGGCCGCGCTAGCCGGCTTACCAATGAAAAGACGAGTCTCAGTAGGACTGAAAACAGAAAATGCCTCTAAAGGTCATGATCTGGGACCCCGTGAGGGGCCTTCATGGGGGGGTCTATCCTACTCTCCGGAGTGACGCCAGATACCTTGGTGGCAATAACAGAAGAAACTGCACGTGTTTGCCGTGGCGGCTACTACTTTGGACGCGCGCTGTTTTTGGAGTGCTTTCATCGTCCTCCCTGCGTTTGCCGTGTGTGTGCATGTTTTTCTTTTCTTTCAGGTTTTGGTTTCGTCGGCGGAGAGCATGGAGGCAAGCGACGCCCAGGTGGGCCTCCTGCGGACCCAGCTGATGGACTCGGTGCAGCAGAAGAAGGAGGTTCTCGGGGAGGTGTCCAAGGCCGAGCTGGTAGAGGGTGGAGGCAGAGGTGCGGAGAGAGAAGTATATCCATGGTTGGAAAAATTAACCAACAAGTACGGGGGGGAAATGACGGCAATGACGGCGAGAGCTGATGCCGGGCTCGGAAGTCGACGGGAAGGAGGAAACAGCGGCAATCTGCGGCTCCCCCGCTTCCACCGGTCGATGTTGTTGTCGTTTTCTCTTGCGAGACCCACTTGTCGAGAGCACATTGCGACTTGTCGGAACGTAGTTGGTGTTTCGTGACCAGACGATCGATTCCCTTTTCAGCCCAGTTTTTTGTGTGGCTCTTTCGCATACGGCGGTAGTTCGTCGTAAGCTGATTTCGGAGTGGAGGCGGAGGAGGCCGTTGAACAAACTTGTTGTCTTCATCCCATTGACTCTGGCAAAATACTTTACTGCAGCCACTCCCCAAGCTTTTTAAGAATTGATAAGTATATTGCAATAAGTACGCCCCATACCTCATACCTGGCATTTCCTTTTGAGCTCAACAAGCACTTGGAGAGAAAATTCGAAAATGACGCTATGCGAAATTGCGGGAGCAAATGCCTTTCGGCCGTCGACGGTTTCATGTATGGTAGCCTTTAGCGAGGGGGGGAGGCGAAGGCATTCGTAACATGGTGGTGTGTGGTCGGTGGGGGTGCCTGAACGATAAGAAACAGTTGCTGGTGACGTACTGTAGGTCGTGTCTTGGATCGTTCATGTCTTGGTAAATCATAGTCCCTGTCTTGCCCAAGATTTTACTTGCTGTTCTCATTTTTCGTCGTTGCTCGTCCATTTATCTTTTTCCCGTCTTAACATACAGGCGCCAGGAAAATGACGACCGCCAGAGCATTCCAGGCTTCGACGGAGCTCAGCGAGGAGGAACTGCTGCAGGCCGTCACGGAATCGTCCAAAAACACTGCACTGGGGGTTGCCAAGGTAAGATGGGACCACGGAGGCGTGGCTTGCCATGATTCCATTAGAGATCCGTAGACCTGTGTAGGTTGTGGTTTATCCTTGTTTTCTCGTTGATGAATTTTTCAATTGTGTACCACCGTTCTGTGGGTAGTTGGCCTGTGACAACAGAGGGCGGTCGCATCGGATGCCAGAAACAAGTAATGAGCACAGACCGGGGCTATTCTTGGTGTGAAGACAAGAACGAACGCAGTTACCACAACGACGAGGACGACGAGGACTACGACGAAATTAGATCGCTGGTATGTAATAGTGTACATGGATGGGTGCCGCAACAGGTGGTACCGAGACCGAGGGACAGGCTGGAAGTGGTGTCCTGTAGCCCTCTTCTTCTGCGCTTGTTGAGAACCCTCCCTATCCACCTTGCGTGGAGAAAAACAGTGCACGGATTTTGGGTGCCGTGAGAACGTGGGCCGTCCGTTTCCCGCCAACGCAAGCCTGGCGAAGAGGACCTTGCGAAGGGCCAACCAGCATCTTCAATCTGAAGGCGCTCCTCGTGTTAGCGGTATCCCCGAGCCCGGTTTCTATTTTGCCGTGGTCCGACCTTTTCGCCCGGCGACCTCCGCCGGCCTCCCCCGCTCTCGGTTATCTTGTCTACGATTTGTCAGTCGGTTTCGGCGGGGACGAGCTCACTGGGCGACTACCTCAGGTCCCCCGCGGGGCAAGACGTGGCGGCGTCGACGGTGCTGGTGATCGGAGCCTTGGCAGGCGCGGCTTCGTCGGTGGCGAACGCCTTCAAGGCGGCCAAGAAGGAGTTCGACGAGAACGCCATCTCTGGGTAAGGAAGTGTTATATTTTTCCTCGTTGATTTAGCCCCCCCGGACTGCTGTTAGCCCTGACCGTATCGGTTTTCACCGGTCAAGGTAGTGTGCTGTTCGGCGTTGTTTACCTCCCGATTCTTGGCCCTGACCGTATCCGCTGTCACCATGTGAGGTAGTGCTGTTAGCTTTTGTTGTTGTTAGCACTGACCCGTAACCCCTACAAGGAGTCCGAGGAGAATACTTACTATCCGGGGAAATAAATTTAGTTTTTTCTCACAGTCCCAGCCTTTACCCTGACCATAACCGTACCAAGGAGGTGGAGGAGGCGTTGGATGCAGGGGGGTAAAGAGAGCCCCGGCGAACGTTTCGGTGCTGGTTTCGCGGCCCTCCGATTGGCTCTCTGACGACGTCACTTCGTTTTGTGTGCTCTGTTGTGTGGGGTGCGGGAGTCGTCGGAGTCCTCCATTTTTGCCCGTTCCTTGCAGCTCTCTCGAACTGGGGTATCCGTGAGGCATATAGCGCAGAAGTTTCTTGGAAATACGGCTGACAGTTTTCGTTCCTTCTTGCTTTCTTTCCGACGATTGTTTGTTTGGTGTTTTCGGTGCACGTTGACGACAGGGAGGAACTGACCTCGTTTGACAAGATCCTCAAGAGCCTGCAGTCTTCGCTCAAGGCTGTGCAGGAAAGCCCAGCGGTAAGCCGTGAATTCCTCAACGTTTTATTTGTTTTCTACCTCTCGCGCTAACTAAAACGCTGCTGAAAATATGAAAAAGAGGTGCTTATCTTGATTTATATACCGCGCTCGTTCCTGGTACTTCTTTTTCAACTGCAAGATATTCCCTGTGCACCGAACGTCAGGCTGTCTGTTTGTCTCCTCGAGTCTGTCGTACATTTCAACAGGTACTATATAATACATCGTACGTCTTTCGAACTTGTCTTGCTTGCTTCGTCTGGGACCTGCCTTGTGTTTCCGTATGAACGGGCCTTCGGAATTCACTCCCTCAGCTGCTGTGGTTGGGTCGGCCGCGCGTGGGCATTTTCCCTTCGTACCCCTCCGGCGCTTGCTGAACGTCCGCCTGACGTGTGTTGTTGTAGTTATTGGTTGTGGTTGTTGCCGTCGCTGTCGCCGTTGCTTTTGGCATTGTTGCTGTTGTCGTTGTTCCTGTTTTGTTGTTTTTTTCATGCAATTGATGTTCATGTCGTGTTCGTGGCTTGCTGGCGTACGATGTCGTATGCACACCTGTATGCGCAGTTCATCTCACTCCTCCTCCTCCTCCTCCTCCTCGTACGCACCCAACTCGTTCGTTTTTCGTTGTACTGCATTGCAAATCCAACATATCGCACTCCTGCCGCCTTTCACTCCCTCTCCACGCCCCATTTGTACGTGTTCGCCTGCTCTGCACGGGGACTGCTCAGGTGAAAGCCCAGCTTCGCGAAGCGGGGGACTTGCTGACCAAGCAGGTGCCACAGGCGAGCGCGCGCGTTGGCGCCGGGACCGCCGAAGCCATCAAGGGCGCCGCCGCAAATTCGGAGATAAGCAATCCCGTTAAGGACGCCCTGGACTCCCTCGAGCAGGTGAGTTGTTGTTGTTGTTGCTGTTGTTCTTGGTCTTCACACTAAAAAACTGTCCCGGTCTCCGCACAATACCTTCTAGCACCCACTCTGGTTCCAGCTGACGCGGACAGGTGCTTGGTGGTGGTGTTAGTTTCGTGGCGCAGGCCAACAACAGTATTTTTGCTGTGCCTCGTTTTTTTGCATTTAACCAGGCGAAATAGCGTGCGTATTGTTTTTCTTGTCGTGGCAAACGTCTGTCTAAGTCGAGGACTGCTGAACACGTACGACGCGAAATCTATGACTTTTCGATATTGCGGCGTCTTTGGGCCCCGCGCGCCGCGTTTCTGTGCGTACATGCTCAAGAGCCTGTCTGTCGATCATTCCTCTCGAAGAAGAGGTACTCCCCCCCGTCCGTTCGCATTCTACACCAGAAAGAACACCGTTCATATTGCCGGTCTCTCAATGTTGTTCTTGTTTTGCTGCCCGCCCCGTCCCTATCCCGCCTTCCCCCCTCACTGCATCCGCGGCGACAGTTCGTCGTTTCGTTGGCCGCGCTGGGGACAAAGTACTTCACGGTCTCGAGGGCTGCCCGGTTCCAGCTGCCCGGCGGCAGTAAGGAGACGGACGAGCAGCGGAAGGCCAACGCCAAGCTGCCGTCGCTGTCACCCCCCCCGAAGCCGATGGATGAACTTGTAGCACAAAAGTCTGCTGCCGCCGCCGCCGCCGCCGCCGCCGCTGCCGCCTCTTCTTCGAAGAGAGAATCCAGCCCTGTTCCTGCTGCTGGTGCTTCTGTTCCCCCGGTGGCAAAGCCAGCCGCGGAGGAAAAGACGGTCTCTGCAGCAGCTCCGGTCTCTGAGGCTTCAGTGCCCAAGGCATCGAAGCCGAGCGTAGCTGCGGCGGTGGCAACCGAGCCTGCAGGCGAGAATGAGCCGTCTCCCGTGTCCAAGGCTAAGACATCTGAACCTGCTACTGCGGTAGCGAAGCCAGTGGCCGATAAAAAGCCGACCTCGACGCCTCCAGCACCCGAGGTTTCAGCACAAAAGGCGGCGGCGGCGGCGGTGGCACCCAAGCCTGTGGTAGAAGAGAAGAAGCCCGCCCCTACGGCACCTGCTTCGGAGACCCCCGCGCCAAAGGTTGCCGCACCTGCTGCTGCTGTTGTTGCAGCAGACAAGCCGGCGGCGGAAAAATCCGCTGCGTCTCCTGTTCTTGACGGCGCAGCGCCGGCGACGCCACCTTCGGCGGCAGTGGGTGCTGGGGAGAAGGCGCCCCAATAATGACGTCTGTCGCGTCTTCGTTGTTCGAGACTACGGTATCATGCGTCTTGGCACAAGGTTGATTTTGCGGGACATTGTTCTCTGGAAATGGTTGCTCCGTGTGTTTGGCTTTTGAGAGGTTTGGGAATACCTCCCTGCATCGTTTTTCCAGCGACATGGTGGAAGGCTGTCACGCGTGTCGACCGATGTGGTTCGACCAGAAGTTCACAACCACTCATTACTTTGTCTTAGTTCGACAGACTTGTTTTGCACTAAGAGTTTTCCAGGCGGGAGTCGCGTTTTTTGCCAGCTTGTAGCATAGGCACCCAGGTTCAAGCGTCTTCGGTTCGTTTATGATTTATGATGTGAAATGCAATGCGTTTTTTTGCTCTTAGAGTGTACTTCTTTCAACTCAACTTTCATCGTGTGGGCAAAAAAAGAGATGCAGACGATGGAGTCCCCGTGTCATTTTTAGTGATCGACGCGCTCTACCGAACATTCCTTATGTTCTGACAGACTGCTCAAGATTGCGCCCCCTGGCAACGAGGCAGAGACAAGACAAAAAGAGCGTGCCACGGACAATCGATCTTGCAAAGAGGAACTCTGCGATGGCTGCCGCGTCCGTTGCTACCCGAGGCTAATTCCCTGGCCTTTCTCCGCTTACATTGTGGTACATGCGATACAAGCCAACACACCCACGTAAGAAACCGACCCCCGGGGGGACAATATCTTCCCCCCCCTCAACTTGAGCCCAAAACATGAAAGTGAAGTTTCCTCTTCTATTTAGCTCCCATCCATGGAAATAGCGGGCGGCATCATGTCCCGTACTTTTGTAAGGTTGCACACACCGGCATAATGGTACAACACTTGATAATCTTCATTGCAGTAAATGTACATGCAAAACCTCTTTAGAATGAATGGGGTCACACACACGTGTGAGAGAGAGAAAAGGTGCCCGCACTTTTCTGATTGGCCAATTATATTGGAAAGGAAATTTCTGATTGGCCAACAATCCCTGGTCGACATGTGATGTCATCCGCCGCGGGTTCACTTTTTTTCTAGCAACATCCAGATATTTCAATCTGACCTTAGATGATATGCTGTTGTTGTGTGCCCGCCGATTGATGATGTTTAGTCATTTTTTTGATACATCTTTATTCAGGTGTTGGCTAGTGAGTACAACACACGAAAAAACTAACTGCTGCAGCATACACTAGGCGCAGCCTGTGTAACTTTCCGCCATCATGAAAAGTCCATATGCACAACAGAGACCGCATCACCGAGCTACACACAGCAGCTAGCAGCTGCCAGCAGCAGCAGCTAAATATTAATTCTAATCCACATACCCAGCCGCTACACTCACTACGTACGCATACACACTCCTAGAATCGTGTGTACTTTGCTTTAACTATACATGGTACGATGTTATAGCATGTGTGTACAGCAGTACATCCTTGTCTATCCTGCTTGGACCGGTACGCTTCATTCGACATCTCGACGCATAGAACAATGGCCTCTGCATCTAATCTATCCGTGACTACTGTTACTTCGAGTACAGCTGTTACGGTTCGGGATATTCACTGTTCCGCAAGTACACCCCTACAGAGGTATTGGTCGCATTTTGCGGAGCCTCTGCCTGCTGCGAGAGCTGTTTGGAGTCGCCCTCCCCTCTCACTTTCATGCTACCATCCTGAGCTTGCACTAGAAGAATTATAAGACCATAACATCCACAATGAGGCTTTTTCTTCGACACTTCACCCGCTACAACAGCCGGTACGAGGATATTCACTACTCATCGCACTCGGTACAGTCGTTCGATGACGATGATACCGTTCTTGCCGATATGGGGTGCAGCTGTCACGCCCGGTTAGGATCGTTGAGCGACAACCCATTAGCCAGGTGGCCGTGTTGGGAAGCGGCTTAATCCTTGTTGTACCTACAATCACCTCCCCGTGCTCCCTTTCCTCCTCCGAAGGACTGAAGTCGCTATCATAGCCACCATCGTTGTCGACGACAATAGTGCGTCTCGTCGACTCTCGGGCAGTCTGCACGGACGGGTGAGAGCGCGAAGAGTATGATAACGGCGTACGTGAATGCCCGTGAGAATCAGTTCTGCATAACTCGTTTTTCTCCCGGTGTTCGCAATTGACAATCCCATGTGTTCATCGAGAGATACTTACCTTCCCTTTCCGAGTCACAAAAATGACAGAGTTTATACTTTTGGCGTCCGATCCACGGAGAAGAGTGAATATTTGGAGAGTGTTGAGGGGGTGAGGTGATAGCAATCAAAACTGGAAACCCCTCGGGAGGCGTGTTGGATGGTTTGAGCGGGAACATGCGTGCTAGTTCGTCTGCTAACGAGATCCCTTTCGGCACCCCTGCTATCTACCCGTGACCACTTCGCAAATCCGCAATGTTTCTGTCTCCTGCCCGCACACTCATTCGTCACTTTGTCACCCTGTTCGCCTAGAATCAGCTTTAAAATGACACGCACAAACATTGCCCACTAATTTTGTGCTTGCACTAGCGGTCCTACGCTTTTATTGTGGGCTCGGTCACCGTCTTGAAAATATGACGGAGGGTGGACATGTGGTGGGAAAGAAAGAGCGTCGGCGCACCCCATGTTGATCCATGAGACGGCGTAAATGAAGCAGGCTAGGGAAGGCATCGCAATCAGAAACCGTAAATCGCTGGGAACTGATCGTCTCTCACCTTTGGTCCACATGGTGACGCCGCTGCGTTCGGGGACCGTGGGGCGAGACATTGATCACTCCTAGAGCCGGAGTGTTTGCCGGGTATGTATGCCCATATTTGTGTCCAGTGACTAGAAGGTGTCGTTGATGGCTTGTATTAGATCCGCAGGCCGAACGCACGACAAACAGAGGAGAAAGCGAGTGCCCTACACAGGCTACGCAGCATGGGGGCACCGTAGACTCATCCAAGTCTACCACAGGTACCACAGCAGGTCCCTTCATCTACGGAACACAGAACCGTCCTCGGATCACTGTTCCTGAACTGTCCCCGCTGGGAGACCAAGAGCCCGTCGACATATCTTTTGTTCGAGAAAATTGGACCATCTGTTGACTGGTCAGATGGTCTAATTTTACCGAATAGGAGCAGGCTAGGGCAGGTGACTGAAGACATTGGAAAAACTCCGATCCCGTGGTGTTCATTGGGTGGTGTATTTTGTGGTGTTCAGTCTTGTTTCTACGTAGTTAGCGGTGCGAGGCCGAGACTTTTACGTACATCACTCGGAACTGTTTACCCATGACCTCGGCTTTATGCTTTAGAAAAACGTGTGTGTTGTCAGTGGTTGTTGTTAATTTTTGAGTGAATTAATTCAATGAACGAAGTTGTGCTAGTGCGTTGTTCATGTGTATGATTTCCCATTCGTTGGCATAACCGCCCCCTTTTTGGCCGAAGGACATATAATTGTAGGTCGTTGAAAGTTGACGTCTACACGTCGGTATTCGTGCGACGAATTCAGACCAGGAGGCATCACTCCTTCCTATTCTTCCTACCATGCTCACAACGAATCAATGCGCGAATATTTCCTCGGTCGGCTTCTCGTTGCCTCTGTTGTTGTTGTTGTTGTTGTTGTTGTTGTTTATGTTTTTTGTGGATTAACTCCCCGCCTGTTGTGTTCGTTCCGGGAGAGAGCTCCATCGAAAAGCGGAAGGAGAATCCCGCCACGTTCAAGGACGGTTGCTCGCGCGGGGGTGAGCTTCTTTTCGTGTTGTTGTCGTCGTCGTCGTCGTTGTTATTGTTGTTGATGCCCCGCGCCCCATGTGCTCACCGCATCTCCGCTCCCTCTTTGTGATGCTACCAAGGCGTGCGATTTGACCCTTTGAATGAAGCTTTGTGGCCTCAGGGTCGAATATTCGATTGTCAGCTCATCGTTGCCTCTGTTGTTGTTGTTATTTTGTTAATGGCGTTGTTGTGACCTCTCCTTTCGACATGATGTTCTGTTTCAGCAAACTGCTGCAACATCGCCGGCTGCACGTGCAAGGATGCCGACAAGTGCACCTGCGAAGGCCACGCTCACGTCTCCAACGCCTCTGCCGGCGGTAAGATTGCGGGTATATTGTGAACGGATTGTTGTTGTTGGTTGTTGTTGATACCCCGCGTCCCAACGTACTCATGGCATCCCCTCTCCCTCTTTGTGATGCTACCAAGGCGTGCGATTTGACCCTTTGAATGAAGCTGTGTGGCCTCTGGGTCGAAGATTCCATTATCAGGTTATCGTTGCCTCTGTTGTTTTTCTCGTCATCTATAATGTTAAATTCTTGTTGCCGTCGCCATCCAGAGTGTGTATTGATGCTAAAAATTTGATGCCTTTCACGAGTCTCTGGAGGTGGAACAATCACTTGCGTTTTGCTCTCACTCGCCCTTGAAGTGTGTTGAAGAAACCCTGCGAGCGATGGCTGTGTGCCTCCATCTGACTACGTTGCTCCATTGTCGTCGATGCAGTTGGTTTCATACGTTCACTCGCTCACAGGGCGGGCCCTCGGAAGCGGGTGCGGGCCGGGATCCGACGGCAACGTCCGCGGGCATGGACAGCCACCGAACGTTCGTGGGTAGGTTCTATCGATGGTGCGAAGATTGCAAGGAGGCGAGCGCCCGCGAATCAGACTTCTACGAGTACAGCGGAATTCCAACCCTGAACGGTGGCCGACCAACGCCAGCGCTGCCGCCCCACTACACCGCCAAGGGCCTTTGTCGTCAGATGTGCCTCCCTTGTGACAAGGGCGGGAATGGCGGCCCTGGCGACCACATACCCCGCCGGGGACAGGTTGTCCGGCGATAGGTGCAGGGGCCTGGTTCACGACCACATCAGACAACGCCGGCCGTCGCGCACAGGGCAAGCAATCCCAGAATGTATCCGGCAAAACCGCCGGGGATCCCAACGACAAAAAATGTATAGCCGCTACACACTCACTTTCTGACAGCTGTTCTCGGGCCCAATCGGCATGCGAGAATGTATGCACACAGTCGCGGAGGTGAGCTTCCTCAGCGGCCGTGGGCGGCACCACGGAAGTCGCAGGGCTAGTACTTGCGGGCGACAACACTGGCGGCATGGGCGTCGCGGGCGGCGGTGGCGCCGGGGTGGCGGCAGCAGGCGCGGGCGGCGGCGGCTGCAATTCAGCCGGCGCCGGAGAAGGCAGCGGGCCAGAAGTAGGGCTACCCACCGTTCTCGTAGACCGCGCGGCACGGCTCGACCGGGCCGGCGTTCGAGGAGGTCGCGGCGGTCTGGGCACCACAACGGCCCGTGGTTGTTGCGGAAAATAATTGGGACGGCTGTGAGCCATGCCCGAGGCCGAATTCGTTCTCGCCCGGGTACGAGAAGAAATCAGAGGGCCACGCGAAAACGACAGGGCAGCTGAGGAGGTTCCGACGGTGGACGAGGGAGCGACGTCTGGCTCCGCAGAAACGGAAGCCGGAGGAGGTCCATCGGGCACAGAACTCTCGGGGGCTGCATCGCAAACGACAGCGAAAACACCAGGCGGCGAAAATTTCGACGAATCCACTACGGAGGAGGGCGACAGAGCCGGCAGGACCATTTGTGGCCAAAAACGGCGGAAGTCCCCAAAGTCATCCTCCGTCAGAGGCGCGTGTGCCAACGCGTCTCGTTGATCGTCAATGTCAAGCCCACCCAAGCCGATGTTCGGCGTCGAACTAGAGTGATAACTCCGTCCGCACGCACGAATGAGATACACGCCCGCGGCGTCATCGACTGCGATACTGGTGTCACCGTGTCTATCCGCGTCGGTTGCCGGCAGGGGCAACCGCGAAAGAAAATCCGCATTGGCGTTGGCAGTGCCTTTGCGGTAGACAAGGGTGTATTTGAACGAGGAAAGGAACTCGAGCGGCGTTGTGTTCACCCACCTTGACGATGCTCTCCAAAGCCTTGTGATCCGAATGAATCAGAAAGTGCGTAGACCAAAAATAACCGCGTAAGCGTTTAATTGCCCACACGATACTTCCAGCTTCCAAGTCGAGCACTGTCCAATTGCGCTCGGATTCGAGCGTAGCGCGGCTAACGAACAGAATGGGACGGATTGAACCATCGGCCTGTTCCTGTTCAAGGGCCGCACCAAAACCATCGATACAGGCGTCACAGCAAAGCCGGAGAGGGCGGCTGCCATCTGCGACAGCGTCCCAATCCGGGAAAGCCAAAACCGGAGGTTCGGACAGTTTCGCCAAGAGTTCTTTGACAGTATCCGCCATAGCCGGCGTGAAACAAAACTTCGCGTCCTTACGCAAAAGGTCTGTGAGTGGTTTCACGCGCATGGCCAAACCCTTGATGAATTTGCGGTAATACGAAAGCCCACCCAGCAAGGAACGCAGCCTTTTGACGTTGTTAGGCAGCGGCATTTTTGTGAGGGCTTCGACCTTATCGGCACGAGGACTAACACCCGCAGGGGAGATTGTGTGACCTAAATAAACAGCCTCCTTAGCGCCGACGCGACTCTTGAAAGGAGAAAGCTTGAGGTTGAACTTGCGCAAACGCTCCAAAAAAAGCCGTATGTTGGCGACATGGTGGATGGGGTCGGCGTCAAACACAATCACATCGTCCAGGTATGCAAGCACATGGTCCAGACCTTTAACCACTTCGTTGATAACCATGGTGAACCACGACGGTGCCACGGAGCTTCCCTGAGGCATGCGGAGCCACTCGAAAAGTTGCGTGGGCGTACAAAACGCCGTAAGTTGAACCGTGTCCTCTTCGACGGTGATTTGGTGGAAAGCGGAGTTAAGATCGAAAATGGAAAACACCTTGCCCTTGTGCAGGGAATCGATGATGTGGCCAACTCGCGGCTGCGGTTGTTGACCAAGGCTGCACAATTTGTCAAGCTTTTTGTAGTTCACGGTCAAACGCAGATTGCCGTCCTTTTTAGGCATGACAACCAGAGGGCTCGCCCACGGCGATTGCGAGTGCTGAATAAGACCGGCAGCAAGGTATTGATCGAGAATTGTATCGACCTTTTTCTCCACCAGTGGGTTGAGCCTATAGGGACGCGAGGCCAACGGTTTCGTTCCCGGGGGCACTTCCAAACGAAACGGTTTCACGGAACAGCAACCGAAATCGGACGGTGACCGCGAAAACACATCCGAAAAGTCACACAGCACATCCGCGAGGCTGTCGATGGCTTCCGGGGTCCAACCCGAGTCATGTAAATCAAAAGTCACATCGTGCAAATGTGCAGGCAAACGTTGCCACAACTCGCGAAAACTCACTCGCTGCGCTTCTGAGAGGCGTTCCAACAGATCCGGTGGCGGCGGTTTCGGCGGCAGTGAGGCCGCGGGGGAATCCGAGATCTCCGGATCCGCAACCGGGATGTTTGAATGCAAATAATTCACGCGAGACGGCGGCCCATCCGCGGAACGGGCTGGCGGCGGAGGGTCACTCAACCCATCACCCTCGGCCGTCTGCGGTGTAGGATCAATCGACGCAAGCGGAATCTGCACAAGTGGGGCAGTCGCCACTCCAAGCACCTCACCTGGCTCCAACTCGGCGCACCCTGTCAATGGGATGTGTTGAGGCCCGTCCGAAACAAACGCGTCCGACGCCGAGAGGGCGCCGTGTTTCGGTAAAAACGTGACAAGATAGTTGCCGGTGAGAGCGGGGGTGCCAGAGTTGCGAACGAGGTTCACCCTCGTCAAAGTGGGTTTATCGGAAAGGGAGACACCCTTCCTGCCGGCGTGCCGCAGGAAGTAAGATGCCCCGGGGGCGGAGGGTCCAGCGACATACGTGGAAGCTCCCGCCGCAAAATCCGATGACAGAGAAAGTTTTTCCATGATGCGTCCACTTGCCGACCGCGTGGGCAAAGTAGTGGACAAACGAGAGTTTAAACGCATCCAACTATCACGTCCAAGAAGGAGGGCGTGACCCATGGCGGCAGCTGGGACAACATACACCCACACCGCTAACGAAGCGGTGGCACTATCACCATAAAAAAATTGAACGGACAGCCGCACGGATGAGGTGGTTTCAAGAGCATTGCCAGAGCCAAAACCACCCCACTGCCGAACGGGCACCGAACGACGACTGTGGACGGATGCAGCTCCTGACGCCTCCATGGCTTCAAGGAAAGCATCACCAATGAAAGATGAAGGTGAGCCCGAGTTCAAAAGGGCTACACCATGCGCTGTACACACGGCTCCGGTACCACTATGAACGCGGACTCGCGTCGTAGAGGTATCGCAATCTACTAAAACATCACCGCTCACCAAATCTGGGCCGTGTTCCGCCAATAACGGCGGTGGGGAAGCGGCGGCTTCGCGAAAAGCAGCAGAGGCAATATGCAGCACCTGTTTCGAGTGGTCTGCGTGCGTGTTGGCTGGCACGTCCAGCGGGCCGCGCGCGTCCTCGGGCGAGGAATCATGGACCAAAGAGTCCTCACCCGGGGGCGCAATTTCGTGGATAGTGGGACACACGGGAGCAGGTGGCCCCGAGTGTTCAGGGCGTAAAGGCTTATCGGGTTCGACCGGGCGCACACGCAGAAGCGTGCGCGTCGCAACAAGCGCTTTGCCCAAAAGGGTTTTACCAGTCCACTTGGAGGGCGACGCCGCACGCGGATCGGAGGCATCAACACCAATGCCCCACAATCCGTCATAAGGACTGGCCTCCGCTATCTGTCTGTCACCCGTAGCCAACAAACGTTCATGCGCGTCAGCATTTTGGGCGAATTTTGCATACAAAAGCGAAAAGACAACATCCTCGCGCCGGAGTTCCCATAGAGCATGGTCAAAACCGCGTACCTTGCGACCAAGGGACTTATGTTCTCTCGGGTCGGAGGTAGCCATGATTTTGGCATAAGCGGCATCATCTCCGAAAATGCGGGCTTTCTCCGCCATCATGAACTGTTCGCCGCACACGTAGCGAACGCCATGAACCGAGAATTCACAGGGCGTCCAGTTAGACAGAAAGGACGGCGGTTTCCAAAAGAGGAAAACCTCATCGTTATAGTATTCCTGACAACCGTCAAAAACAGGGGCCTGCCGCGCGGGTGCGCTTACCTTCCCTGAAGAAATATCGTCAAGAGAAATGGCACCGGCAACCGGCAGGACAATCTGGGTGCCGCCCGAAGGCGGGCCGGATTGTGGGTAACGAGGAGAGGCAGGCAAGAGCGGTGAGCCAGCCGCAGAAGCGTGCGAAACCAAGCGGTCTACGCGGGCGTTTTCGCGCAAAACGTCGGCGTAGGCCCGTTCATTAAAAGCGGCCTTCATCACGGGCGCTCGACCAACATGGTCAGCGGCCGCGGGAGGCTCGTGACCGCTATTTCGTGACAAAGAACATGAACCTTCCGATTTGGGGAAACCGTTACTTGCGCTCGGCAACGGCGGTGCAGTCAGCACCGTGCGACGTTGGTGCTCCGTAGAGGAACGTCGCGAGGGGTCCGGAGGGGGCGCGGTGGGTACAAGCGTACTCGAGCCACCGCGGCGGGCCTGCGGTTGTCCGAAAGGTTCCTGTGCTCCAACGTGGTTGACGAGATCACCCGGAGCCGCCGAAACGGTGGGAGAAGCCGGAGCCATGCCTCCGGGGGGCGTAGACATCGGGACGAGCGTCCGTGAGACACCCGAAGTCTGGTCGGCCCCTCGCCCACACCACAAGACTGCATTCGGCGCCGACGAGTCACGTCGGTCATCCAAAACAGGCTGTGATGAGGCGTGAGGCGACATCTGAGAAATAAAAGGTTGGGAAACTAACATAGGCGAGCCCGAAGGCGTCTGTGTGATACGAACATCTTGGGAACTAGTCGTACAGCGCACACCCGGTGCTGTTGACGGCGATGTGTGCAAAAG